TCTCTCTCTCTCTCTCTCTATATATATATATATATATATAGATATATATATATATATATATATATATATATATATATATATATATATATATATATATATATATATATATATATATATATATTTTATATTTTATATTGAAATCTGTTTTTGTAATTTTATAATTTTATATTTTATATTGAACACTATTTTTATAATTTTATATATTAATTAACGTACATATTTATAAAACGATATATATATATATATATTCAAATATATATATATATATATATATATATATACATATTAATTTCTACAGAAATGATGGATTTGCTTTTAATCTGACATTCTTATTACTTCAACTGTTATTAGAACGGCTACTCCGTATTTGAAAGTGAGTCCCTTTTTTATTAAACATCATGCGTTACGTCTATTGGCCTGCGCATTCGAGAAATCTTAATTAAGAGAAACATGTTTCCGGAGCAATCGAATCATCGTTCCCCGTTTTTGATGCAATAAACACCGATTAATATATAAAAAAATATATTACATCGTGTGCAATACGTCCTACAAAGGGGGAATCTGAATCGAATCCTGTCAGGGAACATTATTTTTAAAGCTTTCTCGAATTCGTAAATCTTAATCGTGAAACATATCACAATCATTGATAATTATCAGAATAAGTTAATCGGCGTTTCCGATGACCGACTGAATTGCAATATTGTTATATAGGAATAAAATTCGTTGCCGACACTGGAGTTTGAACCAGAAAGCAAACACAGGCGATTCCATTTTGATCACTATTCGCTGATTAATTTTCGAGCGAATATTATCGAGCATGTACTATTAGTGCGAGGGATACTCGAAGTCGTCTGACACCAGTATAGTGATTTCCCAAGCGTAGTTTAGATGTGGAACAAGGCCGAAAGTGTGGGGCACCCAGTGAGGATGGAACTCACTACTCAGTCATAATTGTTCCAGCGAGACAAGCTTGCTAACCATTACACCGCCTCGAGGTGTCCCGTCTGACACCAGTATTGTTCAACCTCGTTACTCTAGTTGTATCTGCAATTGCAAAGTCTCTGATACAACGAGTATTAAGAAAGTGACAACGAGTATTCACTGACATTACAGGAGTTGCAACGAGTGTTCATTGACATCACAAAAAATATGCAACAACATTAACAAATACACTGTCCGTAAGTAATTTTAAATATCAGTAACACTCTATTTGGCTTATCCGAATGCTGGTACCATTGAATGAGTTTTATACTTAATCTACTGCCTCTTTTGCTAAATTTCATACCATGAAAGCATTGAGGCAAGAAGAACCACCTTGTCCCTCAAGCTCACGGTCAGCACTGCGTCGGAACATCCTCCCGCGCAAAATGAATCTACTCGTGGTTCTGGCGGACGACGTCCTTCCAGCGGCAGCGTGGTTTAATGTGAGACCCTCGTCAGTTTACAGATGACGGGTCGAACTTGGTAGATTACTTTAGTAGAGTGGTCAGCAAGTCGTGGTAGGACGCGACCGAATAAGTAAACATGAGACTGGGCGATGTTGTGGAGAATGTTCGGACTCGGACCAGTGCAGCCCCTTGATGGTCATGAGTAAGCAGGACTTGAAGCCATGAACGCGGGAACCGAAGGAATTGCTTAGAGGCTTACGTCTCGCCACCGTAAAATAGCTCATAGTGGATGATTCCATGATAAACTCGTAGCTTGGTGCGTCTGGTGATGTCGCGAAGCCGCCATAGTGACCTCCAGATGTCTCTCACAACACCTTCAGTCAGACCAAGTCATCTGTTGATTACACGTCATAATACTAAATAAATATAGTTTACCAAATTTTCTAATGATTCTTGATTAGATTGATTGATTGTCTTGTTTGCTTTTTGAGGCTTATTAATGACAGAAAGTATTTTTAGATTTTAATAATTTTTAATAGATAATAATGAACTACTTCAAAAATCCCTAATATTCATTGTGGCATTGGACTAATACATTTCGCAAGGGCATTTCTGCTAATGAGAATATAAGCCAACTGGAATCGAAAGTAGGTTCTGCGAATTTCTGTTCTAATTCTTATCCATTTCACCACCCGCACATACAATCATACATCACCTGACATTTCTAAACGGTCCCATATCTAGGTACTGACCAGACTTGACGTTGTTTGACTTCGGTGATCGTACGAGAATCTGTGTTACAATGTGATATGGCTGTGATATTTCAAATACAGCCTTGAAATTATAATAGTAAAATAACTGTTCATCTTCCGTGAACTCCTATGTCAGATACAATACACGGATAATATTACTATTTTAATATCACTTTTTTTTAAAACTTTTAAATGTTCTTGTTGAAATATGGTATATATAATGAAGTTGTCTTTCACTGGAGTTTGAAGATTTATATTGGAACATTCTTATATTAGTGTATCTATTCCTGTTAGCTTAGGATAAATGCCCACCTTGGATGTCTTCCAGCTACTCCCTACATTTGGAATAATGTGCACGAAGATTTATACTCGAGATATTCTGATTGATTTGGAGCATCTTGATTTCAAGAATAAACACGAATATATATATTCCAAATGCTGTTCGGTCAAGACTATTTCTAAAAATTGTACATCATCCCCTCTTGGTAGATTATAATATCTTCGATCGCTGTCCTTACTCTAGAATAGATAAGATAGTGAAAAACAGGAATACATATATTTCGTTTTCCTGCTGGTTGAGGTTGTGCATTCAAAGGCACGTAACAATTATATAAGGTAAACAAAAATATTCTGACTGTTTTTATTTATTCGAAAAAAGGTTATAGAGAAAACTGAACATACCGTTATTTCTCAAAGTAATCACCATCAGCATCTAGTACCTTTTGCCAACATGGCTCTAGTTGCGCAATGAACTGGCGGCAAAAATCAGGTGTTGGGAACGGAAATCTGTGCTCGCTTGCCGCAAGTCTGTTTCATTTGCGAATGTTTTCCTACGAAGGTTGTTTTTTGTGGGAAACAGATGTGGTAATCTGTTGGCGGAAGGTCCGGAGAGTAAGGTGGATAACACAGTGTCTACCCGTTAAGTCTCTGTATGGTCTCCCTGGCCACCAGCGCCACATGAAGCAAGGCATCGTCATGAAGGAACAGTAAACCCTTGTGATTAACCAATGCTGGTTCCTTCTGTTTCATTGACTGTTGTATACGTTCAAATTGCTGCGTTTATAGGTCTGCAGTGATGATTTGGCCTGTTCTTAGCAGTGCACTACTTATCGACTAGTACAATATATACCGAACATAATCTTGCGTGTGTGTATTGGTAGTCTTGTGGCTTGAAGCACAGGGAAGTGCCATACAAGATCTACTTTTCGTCACTGCTGAGTACTCGATCCAAAATGGTTACGTTGCTTCTTGTTGAATTCAAACCGTGTGTGTGTAACTCAACTACACGGTGTAGGTGAAGTCTAACTTCTTCATCAGAAACATAGATGCGTTGGGCAAGCTCTCTACAGGTTTGACTATTGTCCGCCTATATAGCCGCTTTCAGGGCCTCATCAATCAGGACCTGTGGCCGGCAGCTGTGGGAATCATCATAAAAGGACAGTTCTCCCGACTTGAACTTTTGGTACCAATGCGTTGGGGCGCGTTCACTCACAGCATTATCTCTAATGGCTTGACGTATTCGATGCGGTTGTGGACAAGCCAACCGTAAAGTCATAAAGTAGTCAACCACAGACGAACTTTTTCGGCAACGCCATATTTCCATGTCGTTGCTTGAACTATGTCTGATGTGCGTGCGTAAGGCACCTGCATTAGTGAGGAGCAATACCCCCTCTCAAACCATTTCCCCGGCCTGAACATCTGATGATGTGTTCACTCGCAGTATTATCCACAAAGGCTTGACGTATACGGTGACTTGATGCGGCTGAGGACAGGCCTCCCTTACAGTCATAAATCAGACAACCCCGATCGAACTGCTTCGTCACTGCCGTGTTGCATCGCTGCTGCTTGAAGTAGGACAGATGTGTGTGCGCAACGCTTCTGCATTGGTGAAGAGCAGTAAGACTAACAATTACCCAGCACATGACGTGCGGATTTACATATTAGTGAGCAATTCTTCCCCTGTAATGTGAAAAACGGCGAGGCCTTTTTGGTTATCTTGTAGAGAAATTTGGAGACGGAAAAGAGAAAATCGTAATGTGAAATAAAAAATAAATTCTTTAAACTCCATCGAAATTTATTTTTCCCTTTCCCTACAATTTTACCATAGAAGAAATGAATATGGCAAATGAAAAGTTAAAGCAAATTACTAATGACCACTGAATGAAAAATAAGAAAATAGTCATATGATAAGGCTGAGTCTAACGCACACATGCCAATACTTTGACGAAGAATCACGAATGTATGGTGCTATGTAGAGGCGCTGCTATAATGATAATGATATTTCGAATTCGATATTATAACTGACACCAGGGCCATCATCTGATGAAATTAATAGCTGTCTATACTTCCAGGAAAATTTGGATGACACGTAGAAAGACAGTTAAACAAGGACGCCCCATGGCATGATAAGCGGTGTTAGCGCTTATCTAAATCTGAATTCTCAACAAAATACGACATCAAGTAATTGTTATCATATTACCTGACTGATGGAATATGACATTCAAAGGAGAATATAATGCATTGTTACTAAACTTGCTTGTCTCTTTTGACAATGGCTTAAATCTCGGTATGGCATTTACGATCGCTTGTAAGTACCTAGTAACAGATACATATTACATAACACAGCATTCAACTATTTATCATTACAAGATTCAGAATGTCGGCTCTCATGCCTCTCCACAACTTCCTGTTCTTCGTAGCTCTTAGCAATATTTGTACATTTATATCTCTTCCAGAAACCTGTATTTTAAGAAAACTGTTATTAATGCCGGATTTCTTTTGGAAAATCATAATACACGTTTTTCTTTTCTAAACTTATAATAAATAATGGCATTTAAAAACCTATAATTATTAGGTTTACGTTGAAACACCGGTTTCCGTACGATCACCGAAGTTAAACAACGTCTAGCATGGTCAGTCCCTAGATGAGTAACCGCTTGGGAATATCAGGTAATATAAGCTTGGATGTTCGGGTGGTGTAATGGATAATGGCTCAGAAGTGTTCCAATTCAAGTTGGTTGAGTTATATTCACATGCCAAAATACCCTTAGGAAAGATATGAATCCACCTCACTCTCAGCTATGGGTTAATTAGTAAAATATGTCTCTAAAACCATTATTAACTCGAGAAAAAATGTATAAAAATATTTAAATTTCGGCATTAAATAACACATGGAAATTGATATGCTGCTAAAAACAAAAAAAAATATCAAAAACAAAACATGCAAAGCATGCAAATGTGAGAAGTTGGTAAAGAAGAAAATATATTTATTTGAATTCTATTTAAGCATCAGATTATTATAGATGAATTGGTGAAAACGCTCATAAAGAAGAAATGAGTTTTCTGAATATGAGATGTGAATTCAAAAGAAGTAACTGTTTTATTCGAATTTTACAGAATTTAGTTAGGAAGTGTTTGATCTAAAAGTTCGAAGAGAAGAAGATAATATCTGTAAATAGTAAAAACATAATAATGAAAACACTTTCAAATAACTTTCGATATTTTAATGGAGCTTAAATAAACGGATATCTTAATGAAATAAAAGCCAGATTCCATTCGAGATCCGTTACAAGAGTCCATTTACAGCTTAATATTCCGTGTTATCCAGCAATTTGACATTTTGTAATTTTTCTTGCTTTTCTTTCCGTTCAATATGTTCGGCAATTTCTGTCCAAATTCAGAAGCGCAGTAAATTTTGATTATGAGTCATGACAAGTAATTACAGTCGTGCTGGGTTAAAATATAATCAAAGAATCATTGGAAGCGAAACTCCATCGGGATAATTTTAAAATATTTTACAAAGTTTTACTTTAGGAAAATTAAATGCAAAATAAAATGAAAAAAAAGTCACCGTTTGAGCGGTTATATCAGTTTCACTGTAAATATGAAGCAGATATTCTTTGTTCAAATAACTAGACCCATGTCCACTTTTACGAATATATATATATATATATATATATATATATATATATATATATATATATATATTTATTTTTCTCATATGGTAACGGTTGGTTAGGATCAGTTCCACGGAGATTAAGGTCTAGAATTCATACAATGTCGTACGCAGCGTGAGGTTTAATTAATAACGCATCGGAAAGCAAAACTGGATAACCAAGTCCGAATTCAAGTCGGATTTGTTACATTAATTTCATCGCAAATACCCTGGGGAAAGGTATGATTTTGATCTCTTGCACCAGCCTATGGGTAGATTATTAGGATAGATTGGATCCTATGGCCTTTGTTACGAACCAGTCTACTACAAAAAGATACGGCTGCCTACTGCGAGCAAAAACCTTCTGCTTAGCTAGTCAGGTATCGAGAGCGTGTCTCGCGAAAGGCACTTAGCTGACTGGCCCAGCCAATGTATCGGGAACTGGTGTATGAAGCGATGTTTGTCCTGCTTTTGATGGTTATGCATGCTGTCACCGATCTGGATGACTTCTTGAACAGTCTTTTGCCAGTTACTATGATCACCCGTAAGGTAGTTCCGTTTAGCTGGATCAAAAGCTGTGACTTTCAAATCACGCTTGCAAAAATCCTTAAAGCGCAGGTTAGGGTGACCTACTTACAGTTGTCCTATGGGTCGCTTAGAGTATATAACATTCTTTGATATGCGACCACGTTTCAAGTTAACATGACTCAATCCGCACGGTCTTCACTGGTGAAAAGGAAGGTGCGAAACATTTATAAATATTTGGTCATGTCGTGATTTTCTCTGTGGCGCCAATTGGGACTTCAATAGATCTGAAAAGTATATTTATGATCTATGCCTTCAGTTATTGATAATAATTTTTTGAGTCCAGTTTCGACTTATACGAAGTCTTTACAGTGGGATACTCAGTAAAAATCAAAACTATATGAAATGGATTTCTAAACCCACTCGCTAATGGCCGTTCTATTGTGCTTTAGGGATAGATAGGTATATTATATGACTCACCCCATATGTCGCCAAAATAGATTTGCACTCAATGTGACATCAAGCCATCGAAGAAACCAGGTGTATCATTGGATTCAACGGTGGAATGACCTCTCACGAAATGGAAAGCTGCGCTTCACACCGATATGTAAACACGTGATAGACCGAAGTGAACCTTGGGCGTATACGTATCGATAAAAACCGTATGCGATCTGACATGCTTTAATGATTCAGCCACGTAGGACATTTGGTTAAACAAAGGCCGAAATAGTGCTTCTGAACACACATTCTCTGCCTATTCTCGAAACACCGTATCTGCTCTGTTTTGTATCCTAACTTAAAGACAGTTTAATTTATATTATGACCTATTTTAATTTGTTTTGCTTTAGCCGGAAGTTCTACGTGGCAGATTCGGTTAAGCACATCATATCTAATGACAGGTCCCCATAGGGGTGCAGGCTAGAATCCTGCCGTAGGATGCATATTTAATACTGTTTAATTAAATAAACAGAGCATTTACTCGAATTTGAGTTTCCATCTAAAATAATGTTTATGCAAAACAAATTAAAATGTGCCGGATTTAATTTATTTCATAAACGGGAGTACAGAATTTTTCATTGTCCCGAGCGAATTTGGCCACTTTTTTTTTAACGGTTTTCATTTCTCCACTCGTATCAACCTCAGCTTAGTTAACAGTGGAAATACAGTGTTATTTTTTTTTTTAATTAGAAGAAGGCCCGCGCGGATTCTAGCCACGATCAACATGAGAAAGTTCAAAATGAACGCTCCTATTTAAAACAACACAAAAATAAAATACAACTGACACAGTCAAAACATATGCAAGAACTAACAACACGAAAAACAGCCTTCCTTAAAAATCAGTAAAGAAGTGACCGAATAATTTTGGAAACAATGTACTCCCTTACTCATATGAGAAATTGGCAAAGATACTCGAAAAACTAAATAAAAACAAATAATAATTTAATCTTGCTTGTGTGCCGTAATTAATGAATGATGTTTGAAGGAAAGGTTCCTATATGATATATATATATATATATATATATATATATATATATATATATATATATATATATAAAATAAAAAAAAATAAAAAAAATATTTAAAGAAATAAAATCTTCAGACACACTGGGCTGTATATTAATATTTTTTCGTTTTTATTATTTCAGTTAAATTCCTTGATTAGTTTTGGCCAACATGGCCATCATCAGGAGAAAAAAATCTTCTTGTTAGTAGCAATGAACTACCGAAATAATATTTATATATATATATATATAGATATATATATATATAATGTTACAGACACTCATCCAATTTTATTCTAAAATCCATACTAAAGTTTATATTTTCGAAGTACTCTGAATGAGGAGCCAGTATTTTCAGAAAGTGTAAAAAGGAAAAAGAAATATAATGAAATTGACAATTAACGGTTCTTGTTCAAACTTGAATGTAATCGAGCAAAGATTATGTATCCTATGAAAAGTTCATTTTATCTTTCCTGATCACGTGATAGTGTGATGATTAGACCGGATACTATCCAGATATTAAAGCCACCTGAACTCTCTGAAATGCGTAAGAAAAAAAAAAAAGGTTAAGTGACACCTTTTCGCCTACACATGTACACATCCGTATATGGAAGTCATGAGTCACGTGCTAACATCGAGGTTCGAAAATAAAGACCGCCACCAAGTTCCTCTTCAGAATTCAAAACGAATGCACGTCCAGCTGAACTTGCTATGATCTGCTATAAATTTGGATGTGCGGAAGTATAGAAATCTATTAAGTTTTCTAAACTGAAAAGATTCAGTAAAGCGTGGATTCAAAGACATCAAACTCCGGCGTAGTAAAAGAATCAGTTACAACGAAACAAAGAAAGATACATTATTCTGAGTGCCAAGGAAAAGAAAGATTCAACTTATTCTTCACTCAACCCCTGGACAAAATGGAAAAGAAAAAAGAAAGAAAGGAAACCAAAAAGAAATCCATTTCACAGATAAACTTTCTACCTAGCAAGTTGAAGAAAAAAATGAAAGATAAAAGATAAAACGAAATATAAAATAAAAGCGAAACATAAGCGACACTAAAAGAAAAGGAAGAAAAAAAGAAAAAGAAAGACTTTTTCAAATAACAGATATCCTTTGTTTCTTTTGCCTGTTTTATCTTTGATCATTTTGCATTTGTCATTTGTAATTTCATGCAAGTTTGACACAAGGTCGTTTGTCAATATAATATTTACCTTTCTGATATGTTGCTCCCATTTTTTGTCCCATAATATTTAATTTTTGTCACATTGTTTTGTTTTGTTCCGTCTTTCATTTTTTAATAAACCCCATCATATTTAATCCCCATTATTATTGGTTAGACATATATCTTTGCCTTGTGTTGTTTGTCACCTACCGTGTTTGTTCGTTAACTGATTCCATTTTGGTTGACCGTGTTTTATCACTCAAGAAAGGATTATTGGTAAAAGACTTCGGGATTCTATATTGTATTCCACTACTGCCATAACAGTAAAAGTGGGCGGTACGTAATATATATATATATTAATATGTATAATGTAATGTAATATATATATATATATTAATATGTATAATATAATGTAATATATATATATATATATATATATAAACAGACAATCAATGTCTATTATGTTTGATCATGTGATGTTCGAAACATTGTATCTTTGCTTTAATTTTGGGTGAAAATAAAGACAAAAATTGTGCAACATTTGGTTGCTTGGTTGGGTTTTATAGCATATCAACCACTGTAGGTCATTTAATGCCAAATTTTGTTATATATATATATATATATATATATATATATATATATATATATATAGTACTAGTAAGCGTATAGCTGGCAACAGTATTTTTTCAAAAACATATGTTGGCAACATTACTATTTCAAAAACATATAGTTGGCAACATTATTTTTTCAAAAATCTATAGCTGGAAACATTATTTTTTAGGACGTAGTTTATCGCCATACCCAGGACGCGGATGTAGTTTATCGTCA